TCCCAGGCTCAGGAGGTGGTGGTCAGCTACCTGCCTCTGAGCCACATCGCGGCCCAGATGGTCGACATCTGGATCGCCATGAAGATCGGAGGGGTGACTTACTTCGCTCAGCCCGACGCCCTGAAGGTGAGACACACACCACAAACGGACAACACAAACACGCCGGCGCCCGAAATAAACGCTCATCAGCCCGTTTAATAGGTTCACCTGCACAGTACGGTCAATATAACAGGCCTGCTGTACGGTCATGGTTCTTTGTGGCTGCTATAGAACAAGAACCAAGTGTCTGATTACAAATACCCATCAGTAATTTAAATGATGTAAAATTAAGTAACCCCCCCTCCCCCGTTGATCACCCTCACATTTGCACTACAGCAATTTTAGCCTGTAACAGAAAAGTAGCATAGCGCCCCCCTCTGGTTCCTCACGTGGCTCTGTAGTCCGTCTGTTACACAAACGGCTTCTGTTTCTTTCACACTTCCTCTTTTTGTGCAAGTTGTGAAAATGTGTGATTTTTATTTGTATTGTCCTGTTTTTTACAGGGTTCGCTGGTAGACACTTTGAAGGAGGCGCGTCCGACGGCCTTCATGGGCGTCCCACGTGTCTGGGAGAAGATGCAGGAGAAGATGAAAGCTGTTGGAGCAAAGTCTTCCACCGTGCGAAGGAAAGTGGCTGCCTGGGCCAAAGACGTGGGTCTGCGGACCAATCTGAGCAAGCTCAACCAGTAAGTATATGTTTTTGTTTTTTAAGAAGGGGCTGAGTCGTTTCCTCAGAGGTGGGAGGTTCCTGTTTCAGTTTGCTGAAATGTTCTTGTCTCACCGCAGATGCAGGATTGTTGTTGAAACAACTATTTATTTATTTATTTCCATCAGCTGGGATAGCCTTCCACCTCACGCTGCGTTCTCTTTCACTCTTTCTCCCCAGGAATTCGGCACCAGGCAGCGCTCCGGTCAGCTATCACGTAGCCAAAAAGCTTGTGTTCAAAAAGGTGCGTAAGGCCCTGGGCCTGGACCGCTGCACCAAGTGCTACACAGGCGCCGCCCCCATCACCAAAGACACCCTGGAGTTCTTCCTCAGCCTCAACATTCCTCTTTGCGAACTGTACGGCATGAGCGAGAGCAGCGGCCCTCACACCATCTCCCGCCACGATGCCTTCAAGCTCACCAGGTACATTTTTCTCTTTGCATTGGTTTGACGGCTTGCAGGGAACGACTGATACTCGCTGGTGAGTTACACGACTGCTCTCTTGCAGCTGCGGTATCGAGCTCCCAGGGTGCAAAACAAAGCTGCACAACAAAGACGAGGAGGGAAACGGCGAGATCTGCTTCTGGGGACGCCACGTCTTTATGGGTTACCTCAATATGCCCGACAAGACAGAGGAGGCGCTGGACGCGGAGGGCTGGCTGCACTCGGGTGACCTGGGCAAGCAAGACGAGAACGGGTTCCTCTTCATCACCGGGCGGATTAAAGGTACTGCCTGAGCTAAATCGCACTCTGCTGGAACTGTACCAGATTTCTATTTATCTATTTAAATGAAGAGCATCAGTTCTGCTTTCAGTCTTATATCCTGTTACAGGCCGATTGCTTCAGGTTTGTTCTTCTCTTCGCTCACAGAGCTGATCATCACAGCCGGAGGCGAGAACATCCCTCCCGTCCCCATAGAGGATGCGGTGAAGGAGGCCGTGCCGCTGATTAGCAACGCCATGCTGGTCGGAGACAAGAGGAAGTTTCTGTCCATGCTGCTCACCATCAAGGTAAAGATTCAGACAGTGAGAACAGGGGAGGAGTGAGGGGGGTGTCAGAAGCTCACTGCATCAGTGCATCTGCTTTAACAGATAGTGAGGAAAGGAGCACTGACACCTGGTGGTCGCTTTGAGAAACTACACAGTTGGGATTTTCAGAATCGTGCTGTTTTGGTTACTGATATTTATTTGATTTTTTTCCTCACCCTCCAGTGCCAAGTGAACCCAGACACGGGCGATCCACAGGACGAGCTGACGCCAGAAGCTGTGGAGTTGTGCAGGCAGCTGGGCAGCAAGGCCACGCGCGTCTCCGAGATCTCAGGCGGACGAGACCCTGCGGTCAACGCTGCCATCCAGGAGGGCATCAAAAGAGTCAACGAGAAGTCCACCTCCAACGCTCAGCGCATTCAGAAGTGGGTCGTCCTGGATCGAGACTTCTCTGTCGGCGGAGGAGAGCTGGGTGAGCGAATGCGCGGTTTATTTTATTAGACAACGGCTTTGAAACGACATTTAATAAGATGATGATGATGGTTTCACATCCATTTGTAGTCACAGTTACTCACATTTGGGTATTTCCTGCCTTTTTGGAGCTAAAACACATGTGATATTGAGTACGGTAGCTCAAATAAGTCCGTTACAGAGAAACATAAGTTGCAGCAGGCCGGGAGGATGTATGTGGTGATGCGCTGGTACGGCTCAGGCTGCAGTCACTCTACACCTCGCAGGAGTTAAACAGCACGAATCCTCTTTGCTCTTCCCGCAGGCCCCACCATGAAGCTGAAGCGGCCGGTGGTGATGAAGATGTACAAGGAGCAGATCGATAACTGTTACAAGGACGTGGCGTCTCCAGCAACCCCCGACAACCCGCTGCCACCCAAATAGACCTGCTGGGACCATTTGCATCATTCAGTCCACTGCTGGGTTCCTCCTGTATTTACTTTTTTTTTTTTACTGCCTTAAGTCACGCTCAGTCTGTCTCAGTTTACATTTATGATTGTTGTCCAGAACAGAAGCCAAATGAGGTTAAATTGAGCTTATTTATTTGTATTTCTGGAAGGACCAGTGACATGTGATCGATGAAGTAGCAGCAGCTTTACGTAAGGAGCTGCGACGCGAACCGGAATACTTGATAACAACAGGATGTTTTGGGGGTTTTTATGAATAATTTGTGTGTATTTATTTTCACTTTACCAAAGTTTGTTTACCAAATGAGCATCGGATGGAGTGAAATCCCACAATCACACGTTCACATGTGCTTAGTGTTTCTCTCGTCTTTGATTTCGCTCCTTTTTGTTGTTTTTTGTTTTCTAAATGTCAAAAATGTTCTGCTGTTGAATTTCAGCTATCGTTCTCAGTATGTCATGAAGCCATATCTGTTGCATTTTGGTGTCTGTCAGGTATTTTGATTTGTGACCTTTTTTTTTTTTGTGTAATACTGTAAATATGTTTTACCTCCTCGTTTCTTTTTCCCAGCCATTCGGTCGCGTCAGGAATACGTTTATTTTGCACTCACATGGAGATGAAGTAAATTGTACATAAGTTATAGGACTGTATTGTCAGTTTATAGCAAATCTTATCAGCTGCTAGCGGCCTGTCGCCACAGCGACATTTTGAGATCGCCTACCATCGGCCTCGTCTGCGATGTGACACAAATTTGAAAGCAGCTCTTGCACTCCAAAACAGGTCATCTTGTATATCTTGTAAGATTAGTATATAGCAGGCGTGTGTGGCGCACTCCCAGCAGAGCCAAACTGAGCCTTGTGGTTCATTTATGTTAAATTTTGGGGTTTGTGTGTTTTGTTTTAAGGATGAAAAACAAAGGGAGGAAATGACGGTGATTCAGGGGGGTCGGGTGAGTGAGGATGGGCTGATGGAACACACCAAATGGCCTTTTTAGTTTAATCCGTTGCCTAAAAAGGTTAAAAGAATGCACTTGCATTGTGACTCTTCGCAGCAAACGGTTCAGTGAGGGCTCACAACACCCCTGACAGAAACCTGGATCTGCCTGAACCTAACAGCTGTTTAGTCTTAAAGAAGTCTGGGTTGAAAGAACAGCAGCAGGAGAGTGAAGCAGGCCTGCTTGTAACGACGAAAATGTGAATGTGTGTCTGATCAGTTGTGGAATAAATTGGAACTCATTACGCTACTTTGTGAAACTTGTCCTTTGTTTTGTTTTTGTAAATGTAACGCGGAGGGTGCAGACAGCAGGCGGGGCTCTGATGATGATGATGATGCACCTCACAATCAGAACAGACTCAGACATAAAAAAGAAAGGAGAGCCGACGGCCTCGTTAAATACGTGGCACATGTGAACCGTTTCTATGCTATTCGGTGTGCCGACAACCATAAATAGGCTGCTCGATAATATTTCCTCCACTTCTGTGAGATCGTCTCTCACATCTCGTATTTGTGGCCACAAAACCCACGAGCTTCTAATGCTAAGCGGAAACGCGGGGAGAGAAAAAACGACGTGCTGCAAGTTTCATTCTTGCAGTGGTAGCAGTTTGTCATAGATGCTATTACTAAAAATCAACCTGCAGCACAGGATGGTTCGCTTTTGCAGAGGCCGATCTCTTAGGTTTGGATTCTGTAGTTCGCAGACGTTCTGTTTCTTATTTCCTCTGATGCTTTTCTGCTTTTCGCATCATGAAGCAGCTTCTGTCAGCAGGTGCACGCAGCCGAAGAGCCTTACCGCACTCTGCTCAGGAGGCTGCGTTGCCATGGTAAACAAAACTGAACAGCAGAGAATCTCCAAGGCGACAGCTGCGATATTCGTGCAACCACGGAGTTTATTCAGTTACTTCATAAGCAAGTGAGGGACTTTGTATAAGAACGGCTGTAATTCCTAAACATTTAATACAAAATTTATGAAAAAATAAAGCTGAAAGTCTGCGCTTCACGTTGACTTGTAAAAAGGAAAGAGTAAAAAAAATTGACCCAACTCTGTTTCTTCCGTTTCACTGAAAATCCTGAACATTTATATTGTAAGTGAACTAGAACTGTGTCACCACGTGATCCAGCTCCATCATTTGTCTTATCTGACAATGTAAATGTACTGAACAGTAGTAATGAACACATGCACACATTCATATTTAGTCTCGCAGCTGTGACACTTTGCAGGATTGGCCACAGTAGTGCTGAATTATCACAAATAACAGGATTTTTACGCAAACTGTGCTCATGCGTCTCATCAGCTGGATAAAAGGGCGGAGGTTATCTGCACAGTGTCTTTACCACGTGGTCACTGTTAGCTATCGTGGGTCCAAATTGAATCGTGATACCAAAACTTTTACAATATCGATTCTTTTTTCTTCTAAAGGATAAAATCACTTTTCCATTAACTTAACAAAACATTACATTTTTAAATCAACACATAAAGCAGGGGCTGCACCAGAGACCTCACGGTTCTGCTCACAGCACAGACTGTTGTGTTGCCCGAACCATTAACATCGTCTCCGTTCACTGAACCGGCACGAACGACGTCAAGAGCGTGAAAGCGAAGCTGCTAAACGGCGTTCAGCCATCTTTATTTCATCTGCACCTGCGCTGTTCCTGCTGCGACAGGCCAAAAGGTCCACGCAGCCTCCCGGGTTATTGATCGGCCTCCGCCAATAACTGTCCCTCCCTACAGCCGCATTTCCTCAATAGATGGTCAATGCATCACGAGCATTATGAGCCGGCCTGCTGCTTGTCCTTTTAACCCTGCGGCCTGCGATGACCGTCACGTGAACTTTACTCGAACCCTTGCAGCGGGTCACGCAGCGGTCAAGGATCGGACACACGGGGAGGGGGGGACAACAGTACTTAATGACTTTATTAATAATATGATTTGAACATAAAAATAACATTAAAATAACATGTTTCGTCCTCGTTAACAACTTGCATCATACGGCCACATGGTGGCGTTGTAATGCCAAGCTTGTTGTTTTCCTTTTTTGTTTTTTCAAAAATACCAAAATTGTTCTTCAGCCATCCAGTTCATTTGTTCTTCCCGCCATTCGTCGCTTCGACCTCGTACATGGATTCAGACGCCGCCCTCCCCCCTCCCTCGCCCCGCCCCTTTAAAAGAAAAATAATCAAACCCTTTATAAATACAGGCAACCCTGCCCCCTTGTCACAGACACATTATGACAACCACTGACACAGGAAACACCCCGTCTGCACATGCCCCTCCCGCCCGCCCCGCCCACCTCCACACATTATCAATGAACCATTTTCTCTGTTTTTTTTTGTTTGTTTTTTTGCTTTTTCCTCATCCTCTAAAGATCCACACAGTAGATAATCTACCTTTGCTGTATTAAACACATATTATATATAATATAGACTCAGCTGAAATGCTCCACTCTCACAGCCCTGTGCACAGAGTTGCAAAGGGAAGGGACAGCTGGGGGGTTTCTCCCATCTATCTCCCATTCCCTTCTATAATGTTCCTCAACATTAACGATAATCACTCAGGCTTGTCATCTTTACTGCTTGCTGCAAGTTGCAGTCATTAAAGCACATCTTCTGAGACAGATATTAATATTTAAGACAGTTTTCAGTGTTTTATGCAGATCCAAGCCAGAGAGGGGTTCAAACATTTAAACAAATAACAAACCAGGAAAAATGAATAGCACTTTAACTTCCAGAGCATCTCCTCCCACTTTGCAACTCTTGTTTCTCTATGTTGTGTTTCCTCAGGCTCAAGTTGTCCTAACATAATAAAATGAAGATGACAGTCTACGTTTGGGCGCGCACATTTACGAACGTGCAGAAAACCCAAACTGGACACGACAGAAAAACAAACCGTTTTTCTTCTGCTGAACCAAAGTGTGGACTCCTCACGTCCCGCCTTGTGGTCCAGTTATTTGTACTCGGGGCAGAGGGTGAAAGTTTAGCTCATCCAGCAGTTTTGTTTTGTTTGTTTTTCACCCGCCCGCCCAAACACGTGCTTCTCGGTGTTCAGCTGTCATCAGAATCATGATACAAAACAAAAAAACTTATTTTTACAGGGAACATCCCCAACATCTTATGCCTAAAACAGATCGACAGGCATGTTTGTGAATAATAGCGAGAACACATGCCAAAATAAAAGACAATTAAATAAGAAACAAATGGTTGGCAAACAAAACAAACTCAATTCATATTGTATTGCATGTAAATATTGTATAAAATCCTTAAAAATACAGTTTAGGTAACTACTTAAGTACTGAAGTCATCACAGCCAAAAGTGCAGAGGTCCATAAATAAAACGTTGACTGTGGGTACATAGTGGGGCTTCTCCCACTTAACTCACTGTCTCCGCCACGACCACAAGGGACCGAATGAGCGCCCGGTCAAAGGTCAGAGTTCATGAACTAGGACTTCCAAGTTCCCACATCGGTGCACAGAGGACAGAGAGGAAAGTTGTTCGTTGGAAATTCTCTCCCATCGCTGACAAACACGCAGGCAAGATGCACTATCGTCACTCACACGGCTGCAAAATTCACTCTCGGGCCTGAAGTTCTGCTGACAGAGGCACACCTCGGGAAAAATGAAGGTGGCGCAGAGGGAGGAAGAAGGGAGGGGCGGGAGGGGGGGCTACTGCAGGGCACATGAGGTGGCGTTGATGCCGGTTTTGATTTTGAGACATCGTCCGTGTTCGTGAGGCGTCTACGGTAAGGGCAGAGGGAGTGCGGCGCCGAGCCAGGCAGGCAACAGAAGGAGAGAGCGAAGTATTAAAGCTATCGGAACGTCAGGGCAGAAGCACAGGAAAAGGAAAGAGCGAGGAAGGAGATCAGTGGGCTGGTGTCTGAGAGAGCGTGAAGCCTAAAGGGGGCCACAAAAACCAACATCGAGGCCCCAAATAAGTCCAGAACTGGTGCTCAGTCCTGACTCGTTTGGGCCTCACAAAACTGGCTCCTGAATGTGTCGAGCAGACGTTTGTTCAGATTACGCAACAGGAAGCTACTCACGATCGAGAGTAGTGTCATCAATGTTCGATAAAACTGAAGATCCCGTTAGGGGGAACTTCTGCAGCAGCGTTATAGATATATAGAGCATAGACAGAGTCTGAGAAACAAAAACAAGTAAACGATATACAGTAAATACAAAGACTGTAAAGAGAAAACAATCAAACACTAAGAGCTAAAAATAAGAGTAGATATTACAGTGGACTCTATTACACAGAGTGAAGAAAGCGACATTTGTGCTTCTCTGGTGTGTTATGATCTTTTTACAGTACGGTTTGATGCAAAGAAAACTATTGCATACAAATGATTGGCCTTTAGTCCACCGCAGGAGGAGAAGGCGGAGCTTCTATGACCTGGTGGGATGGTGTCTGTTAAATGCGGTCACACTAAACACGCCAGGATAGTTTTTGCCAATTCAATTAGAGTTAAATTGTTCAAATCACTGTGCAAAGTACTCTCAACCACACAAAAGCTCATCGTCGTTTACAGCAGTCGACCTCCATCATTCAACACCATTTCAGTGCGTCGACGTGCTTTCCGATGAACTTTTAAAGCGGGCGTTACTGATGATTGTCACTTCTGACTTTGTTCAAGTACTCTGTTGACTAGGTCCTGATCATTAATGCATAAATCACCACGGCTAGCACGCTTACCGGAGCCGAAGTAGGCTCACAAACACCAAAGATCTGGCTCGAAGCACCGCAGAGCAACGGGGAAGAAAATGAAAACCGCTCAACATAAACTTACATTATAATTAGATCAGATTATTAAAAGCCTTTAATATCAATATTGGCTTTAAAATAAACAAACTAAGTACAGTCTAGTCTCTAATATCATTACCTCTGGGTTAAACTATTTTTTAACACGTCTTAAATGTTTGAGATGTTGAGCGCATAAAGCCAATATGTTGATCACCATCATTTTTAAAGAGAATGAGCCACGCAGCGTACAGTCACTGATCCGATTAGTTAGAAGAAGCCAGCTTTGTGAGACCAGCAGTCCGATTCCTGATGTAAAGACCAGCGTCTTTATTTTCTTGCATTCACATCTATTAGCGATGCCGTTCAAGTGCCTGGCGACTTGATATCGGACGCTTGGCTGTTAGCTGGTACGCTTAACGCTGCTTGAAGGAGGAGCCTATTGAACAGCACGCACTGGAAGGAACTACCACGCGTTAAAACACCTAATTCCAAAACTGGCCAACAAAATCTTGGCCGCCTTCTGAAAATTCCCAGAGGGCTCGATGAGTGGAAATCGATAAAAAGGGGCGACAGCCTACAGAGACACTGGAGAGAAGCAGGGATGGAAGCTATTAGGAAAATACTGGATAGTCAGGCATTCCAATTAATACTAGTTTCCCCAAGGGGAGGAGGGGGCTGGGGTGGGGTTCAATCTGTGTGGGCATGCCTAACAGAGTGCACCCCCTCCCCACTCACACACACATATACACACTGCAAGTCGCAGGAAAAAGGCACTAGAGTGGGGCTGTTTCTAGCCGTAGAAAAGTAAAAGCGATATACATTCATAGCTCACAGGTTTCTGGGAATAAATACACAAAATGCACTTGTAGAAAAATAAAATGTAAAAAAGCGTGGCCCCTATTTTTTATTTTTTTTTATTTTTGGAATCAGGGAGACAAGTATGGCTACTTTTTCACGGCTTTTTAAACCCCCCTCCCCCCATTTCTCCCCACCTTACTGTGCCCGACCCAACGCTTAAAAGGCAATTCAGGAGTGACCCTCCGCTGCTCCGGCTGCGAGCAGTCGAGCCCTTTCATGCACGCCGATATGGGAAGAAGGGAGGAGGTGGACGAGGGGGGGGGTGAAGTGGAGGGATGGAGCGAAGGGAGGGGTCGCTGTTGGTAGGAGGTCAAGGCTCAGCTTTCAGTGCGAGGAAGGAGAGGGGGAACTGAGGAGAACGCTTTCAGATGTTCAGACGACAGAAAGCTCAGTCACGCACACATACAGCACACGTCTCAGTGTCTTCATGTACAGTGTTCAAAGCTGGAAGGACCCGGGAGGCAAACATGTGCGTGAATCTCGGTACCGCTTTGCTTTAAAGCCTCACGCTGAGCATTCGCGAGCACTGCAAATACTCAACAACTGGTTTATAACACACTATAATTACATATGAGGTTTCACACCCGCTGTTCAGACAGACGATGAGTATAATTCATTAAGAAAAAGCCATGAACGGGACTATGTTACTCTGAAACGTATTTCTATTTAAAAAAAAGTGAAATATAACAGTGGTTGTCTAGTGTATGATCCTTTTCTCCTACAGGACGCCGCCTTTGTTTGTAGCTTAGAGTCGGGACTAAAAGGCTTTCTGGCTTTTATTTACAGGAGTTTCTAAGACGCGTGCGCCATCTTTTACTGCCACAGAGGGGAATGAATGAACTCAAGTGAAAGACCAGTCCCCAAATCTTTACTGCAGAGACCCAAACCGGGCTTAGAAAAACAAGTGGCAAAGAGCTGTCACACGTAATGAGCACAATTATCAGACCGGACCTCTCCGGTGCGCAGCGTTCTTCTAAAACGTCCGGCATCACACCTGCAACCCTTGCCCAAACCACGTTAGTAGTATTTTCAGTAAGTGAATCTTTTACTGCTCTGAGTAACGTGTGAGAGGAAAACAAGAGAAGAAGAAAATGAAAGCTCGTCTTTTTGCTCCTAAAACTGCTTCATGCATGAAAACCTCTTAAAACAAGAAGAACTAAAAGTCTTTATGGGCTTTAACTGCTAAACTCTGATCAATATGATAACACGAGGAAACGCGCATCTGCTTACAACTACATTATAGTGTGTCACAATCCATTTGTTTGAGGTTTATGTGCCTATTAATGTTAAACAGGTGGCGAATAAAGTAAAGTGCTACCTTAATTCTTTATATGTTGGTGTATGCTCGGGGGAAGAATCAAACTGGCTGTTTGTGTTCAAGCAAACAGAGAGAAGTCAGTGACCACAAAGACAACATCTCCCCTTAAACCTCAGCAGTGCTCGGACACACACACACACACACACACACACACACACACACACACACACACACACACACACACACACACACACACCTCAAGAGTATGTCGAGAGAGAAATGAGCTCCAGCTGACAACGGGGGTGGGGGGGAAGAATCGGAGTGTTCTGCCGAGTAAGGAGTGTGCATGTAGAGGAGGAAGAGGAGGAGGGGGAAGTATTAGGTTTGCAGAGGCGGGAGCAATGAGGGTGCAGGAGGGTGGAGGAGGGGTTGTGGGGTGAATTCCACACCACTGCACGGACTCGAGACGAGAGATGGGTAGTGAAAATCCTGACTGCAGACGGAGTTCTGCCGCTCCGGCGTCTCCTTCCACGCCTCCTGCTGCTCCTCCAGTTCTCTCCCCGGCGTCGAGCGTAGGTGGTGGAGTTGTGTCTTCGTGTGTGCTTGTTCGAAGGTTCAGTCAGTCCCACGAAAGAGCTGCGACAGATCCGGCTACCCGTCTCCTCTCGAAAGAGCAGACGCAGCGGCGAGGCCGCCTCCGCCATCCGCGGGCCGGCTTCCACTTCCTGTCACGTGGTCGCCTCCAGGTAGCTCTGTAGTTTGCGGACGGTGGACTCGTCCAGTGAAAAGAGGTCAAAGTCAAAGGTGGTGTTGGTCACATTGAAATGGCCCGTCTCCTCGATCAGGTTGACGATCTGAGAGAGAGGAAGATCAGTTAACGTCACGGCAACCGTTAGCACCGTACGCTCACAGAATCAGAGCATCACAGGGTGATTTAGCTTTGGCACGAGCACACACCTGCTGCAGGACGTTACGCTCCCTTAATGCCATCAGTCTGCGGTGGAGGTCCACCAGTTCTTCTGTGTAGGCCTGCTCCATGGGACAGGAGGGAAAAAGAGGAGCGAATAAAGTCCAAGGAGTTTAAAAATAATAATAATGATAATAAAGTGTTTAAGAGTCTTCCTACTCTGTCAGCACTCTAGAGAGATTTTTCTTCTACATCGGGGAGATAAAGGACACATGCATGACATACACGAGACGAACCATCTGGGAAAACTGGGAACTCCAAACTGATTCAGAGACTAGACGCATCAGTTCTGTCGTTATCAACCGATCAGTATGTTCCATCTTAGCTTTGTGGTAATCGATCCCAGCAGGAGGTAACAGCAGGAACAAAGAATCTCTTCTGCTTTTAGACGTTTAGTCTAAATGAGGTGCTGATGGGGGTTCAGTCACCACCTCAGCCAATAAATCTTCACGGGGGAATCTATAAAGGGTCGCATGTGTTCTCCAGATTTTGGGGGCTTTTAAATGCAGCATTTGCAGGTTTTAGACTCTCATACTTCACGGAGCAACATCTGGAAGATCTGGTCCCAAATCTTCAGCGGTGTAAGAAGCACAAAGATACAGCAGCCGGGGCAATAAATAAATAACTACCATCATGAGAAAAACACGAGTCTGATCAACATCGTGAAGTTAGTAACTCAAAGAGACAAAAACATTAATAATCTGTTGGTGCTGGACATGGATTTCTCTTTGACTGACACCATAACATGTTTAGAGGGACTGAAGTTTTGGACTCTTCCAACAAAATAAAGATCAGTTTACCAAACGCTACTTAAACATGACTTTAATCATCGAAGAAAGAAGAAAGACGTGTTTATGGGTTCAAAGGCCAGAGTCAGTCTGCATAGCTGGATGAATTTACTGGTCATTACTGCATCTTGAATCCATTAATGTGGCCCCCGAACGCTGTCTGAAAGCCTCGTGTGTGTGTGAGGTTTAGGCATAAAAAGTTTGATTTACCCTTCCTACCTTGTCGTATCCCTTCTTCATCACCTTCTCCGAGCGAAACGAGGAATCTGGGCTTTTTCGGACAGACACCTGCAGTTCAGAGACAACAGAAAAATGTAAAAGATGGTAAGGGGGGGGGGGGGCATACTGAGAGAGAGGCAGTGATGAGACCACCTGCAAAAAAGGAGCAGGAATGCAGGTGCGAGCCAGGTGAATGGCTACAGACCACTTTAAGCATCACCCTTAAACACACGGCCTGAATTATGGTCTACATCTATACTAAACTCACACATACAGAATGAAATCCCCAGAAAAGCAATAAACTCACAGCTTGTACTGCAAACCGCTCGTCCCACAGTGAGTGCGAACCAAACACACGACACAAGTAATGAGATTATTCTAATGAGACGACTCGTTAATAAAGTGTGCAGCAGAGTGAGGTCTGTGACTCACTTTGTTATTGGAGGAGCTGTGTTTCTGTGGGGGCGGGGCGGGGTCTCGACTGGGGCGGTGGGAGCCGTCGCTGCTGTCGCTCTCGCTGTCCAGGCTGAGTCTGACAGGGGTACAGGGCGAGGTCAGAGGTCAATGACATGCACACACACAGGCCTCGCGTGCTCCTACTGTCCATTGTAAGCAGAGTTAACCCTCGAGTAGAATTTGCCTTCTAACATAACAACAAGAGAAAGTTAGGTGGGCAGGCAGGTCTAGATAGGACACCCTGTTATTAGACTACAGTAACGCTTTGTGCACATGTAGCTACTCAGCACAACTATAAAAAGGGAAAAATGATCAGTTAATACGCTCCAACTTTGACTTGTTTGATGCATATTGTGCAGCTTATATTCTCCCGTAGACACAGTGCATATTCACCGCTTTATTTCTCCTTTTTTACAGGATAAAAATACTTTAAAAAGCATTAAAAAGCCCAAAACATTAGTATTTGTTTAACGGAATTGAAACATCAAGCATTAACATACATACCATGACTTTCCCACTAGCGTGTCACACATGTAAGCTGACTGATAATGACTTCTTCACTGATGTGCATGTTTCTGTCACCGATTTCTGTGTAGGAAAGCGTGACAGTGCAAAGAGTGGATGTGTTTTGGGGGACTGACCGAGAGTCGCGGTTAGGCGGGTTGGTTTTGATGGGCGTTTCTTCCTCTGAGGTGGAGTCATCATCATCGGACTCTTCAGACTGGATCTCCTCCACCATGGATCGCAGGGGGCCTGAGCGACGAGTCACACAAACCATCATCTTCCATCATTCTCAGCACCCAAAATTTGTATACGGTCTAAATTTGCTCATTAAATTAAATAATCGTATCTAATGAAATTCTATTTTTGTGTGAAATGGGTCGTAGTTGACAGAACCGTACCTTGTCCTTGTTTCTGTCCCGGCTCAAAGTCAGAGTCTGAACTGGAATCTGAACTGGAGCTTTGAGTGGAAGGACTGGAGGGAACCGACGGCTGTAAAGAGAAGAAGGAGAGATCAAAGAGTCCATGAAGAGACAACAACGACACTCATGGGACCGAGTATCAGATGAGCTCACGATGTAATGATGCATTGTTTTTTCTTTTAAATGGACGGGTAAGACCTCAGTCTGTTCAAGAGAAACTAACGAATTTTTCACATCAAACATTTTCCCGTTTCAAAGCTTGACTGAAGCGACCGTCTCGTCCTCCTACCTCTGATTTTGACGATGCTTCATCCTCTGAATTCGACTCTTCTGAGTCTTGTAGTTTCTTGGCCTCTTTCAGTTCCTGCGTGTCGTTTTTGCTTGGGAACCAGCGACCCTTCTCCTTCGGAGGCTTCTTCTCAGCGTACGACTGGTTTGCTGCGGACGAGGACGATACACGGGGGGAGGTTCCTGTGAAGGCCCCGCTGCCGGTGGGCCCCTTCGGCCCCTCGGAGCTGGCCTTCTTCTGCTTCTTAGCGCTCGGTTTGGGAGACTCCACCGTGGACGGTCGTTTCCCCGGTGCTTTGGGCTCCGGCGGCCCTCCGCCACCTCCTCCCCCGCCTCCTCCGCCGCTACCGGCCCCCCCTCCTTTCGGAGACATTCCCTCCATCTTTGAGTCCTTCAGTGTGATTTTAGGCTCCTTGAAGGCCGCCTTGGGGAGGACCTTTACTTCATCTTTCACTTTGATGTCTGACGGCTTTTTTGAAGACGAGGAAGAGGAAGGATCGCGGCCAGGCTTGCTGCTTCCGTCTCTATCGTTGTCCCCTTTTGAAGCGGCTTTGCTCTCAGAGTCCTTGCGTGGCCGCTCTCGGTGCTCCTTGGTTAACTTGTGTGGTTTGGGTCCTTTGCTGCTGCCTCCACTTCCTTCTTTGCTGGGTTCCTAGAGAGAGAAACAACAACATCATCATCATCGACTCTTCTCCTCGACCATTTGGCTCAAACAGCCACAAACAGAATATCAGCTCAGCTGCCTCGAGTACAAACGCACCGTGTCCTCCCAAGATTCCCAAATCAAGCCTTTCCAGTCTGGCATGTAATCACATTACATGCGACTGTCTCAGTAATTAGTAAACAGAATAACATCTGCCTAACAGCTGTATGAAGCTCACCATCGCTCAGAGCTGAATGAGGACATCCTCAGTTCCAGTCCCAGCATGTTGGTCTTTAATAGGCTCGAGATCTTAGCTGATTCTATTAGCTAGTTATAACTGTTGATAAGCGAGGCTATGTGGAGCTGCTGCTGTTGGGAATGTCGTTAGCGTCGCTGGAATCCGATTAGCGTGAAACGCACTGAAACGTATTGATGGTGCTGGACAAATGTGATACTTGATTTGTCGCAGCAGACGAAGCGTACGGAAAATCAACGATGGCTCCGTTTCTAGTGAGCTTCGGAAACAGCATTAGCCGCCGCCCCCCACAACCTCCAACATTTCCAGGTTTGACTCGTGCAGCTCTGGACCACCTTTAGCAGGGTTCTACTTGTTTAGGTTGCTCCCTGCAAGACCAATTGCAGATGGCTTTACTGTTGACGTCACACTTCCACACCGACAGTCTTCAGTAGAAAGTCCTAACAAAATCCTAACAATTCTCAGACCAAGTTTATTAATAATTTTATAGAGTAGGAAGCAAAGTATGAAGAGAGAGGAGGTGAGAGACACAGGTCTCAACAACCTCAACAGTGCTGCGTATCGTCAGGTGCTGCTCAAATACTTAGTGGGCACTGGGCGCGCCAAGCAGAGCGAGTTCATGGGATCACTGGTCAAGCCATCGGTTTTAAGGTGATAATTTTCAGGTTTCTTTCAAACTTCTGACCCCACATAAGTTCATCACTACTGAGTGGTGAAGGGAAAATCAGTCCGAGTGCAACAAGCTGACATTTCTGTCTGATCTCAACAAATAACCGAAAAGGTGTATAAGTGACTCTGACCAGCAGATACTAACCAATTCCTGAGTTTGTGCCAAACGTGAATAATTTTCCTCAAAGAGCTGCTGAGACATCGGTCGTGAGAATGGGGCAGAAAAACACATCGTCAACCCCGAAGCATATTTCCTCAGCCACAGCTGTCACTGGCACGGAGGCATAAAAATGCAAATGTGCAAACAAACGCGCCGCAGAGTCACCAGAGCGGCTTTTAATAGAGCTCTGGCAGGCAGCGCCCACTTATCAGCAAACAGTTTTACAGCTTTTTCAAAGTGACACTATTAAAGTTGATGCGCACATTAGAGCTTTTATCATACTGTTAAAAAACTGGAGAAAAAGTGCGTCTTCGGAGACTTCCTGCGCAGAGTTTTTCCGTGTCAGCAGATGGACACAGCTGGATGAAACCATTCCAGCTCGAGCTGGTGCTCAGCAAACATCCACTCATGCCACGATAATCATGGGACTGATGAAACGCGCATTTCTATGTCGAAATAAAGACGGACATTCGTTTGCACGCGTGCCACAATGGTGAGGCTTTAACAAATGACTGCGTACGAGAAGAACACGGGCCTGTTATCGCTTTATCAGCTCCTTATTTTATCAAGAGAGAAGGAATAGACTTAGAAAGACAATCTCCTGCCCCACTTTTAAGAAAGACCGTACCAGGTCAGTTCTGTGCTGGCCTGTGAGCTGGCAGAGTAAACGTAAAGGGATCAGTTTCCCGTTTTCTTCTGATATCCCTCCTTTCCTGGCAGGCTGAGTAATTCTGCATACAGATGCTCAAAAACAGCTGGTAGTGATTAGAAGTCTGAGTCAGGCTGTTTTGAAGGCTGATTTAATGATTTTGTTAATGTCTTTTACCCAGACAGTGTGTGTGTTTTTAGAAAATGCAATCGTTGGAGTTGACCAATAAAGCCGATTATAAATTTAAGATGAATGAGAGAGGTGCAAAGAGAAAATAAAACGGTCTAGCGGGATCATTTCTTCACCAACCTTTGACACGTGAGAGGTCTTGGTCTTCTTGGGGTCTGAGAAGGCAGAGAGGGGGATGGTGGGGAGCATGGGGTAGTCTGGGCTTGGCCTTGACATGGCCTCCGCCCCCTCGGGGACCACCAACACCTGAAATTCAAAAAAAGAGGCTTTAATAGGTGCAAGCTCTGAGAACTGAAGCAAAACACATGTTCATTTTCCCCGATAGATTTATAAGTGGGCTTTATACGTGAGTTTGGAAAGAAAATCAAACCGAATCAGTATAAAAGATAAGAAATGTATCATGGATGAATTTTATGTGCAAATAAAAATGTATTAAAGCATATACTGAGGAAGACGCGCTGCAGCAGCCGAGATACAGAAACAGCGAAAAGCAAAGCTGATAAAGACTGTCCTCACTTCCTGCAGCTCAAGTTTGATCAATTTCCAATGAACTGAGTGTTCAGTGTGCAGCACCTTAAATGTACAGCTACTCTGGGCTCGGAGGTTAATGGCTACTACAGCATTTACACATCTACACCATGGAGTTACATTAACCTCCTAGGACAGGGGTGTCCAACTCCAGGCCTCGAGGGCCGGGGTCCTGCAGGTTTTAGATCTCACCCTGGGTCGACACACCTGAATCACATGATTAGTTCATTATCAGGCCTCTGGAGAACTTCAGGACATGTGGAGGGGGTCATTTAGACATTTAAATCAGCTGTGTTGGATCAAGGACATCTAAAACCTGCAGGACTCCGGCCCTTGAGGCCTGGAGTTTGACACCACTGTCCTAGGACACAATTTTAAATATGCAGAAACAAAAATCAGGTAAATAAATAAAAAATAATCATGTAATTCTTTGTTTTTACATCCATCAGGTCTCAATCAGCCCAAACAGCAAAAAGAAATTAAAAATGCTATGAAAGAGTTCGGTTCTTAGGAGGTTAAAATGAATCTCTGACGTGAGGTCGCCTAAACAGGATCACATTATTCAGCCAAATTAAAGATATTTTTAAACTGTATAAAAATCCCTTCATTAGCCAAAGGGGGAAACAGCAGGGACATAAGAGTCAAAAGCTATTTGATCAGTAACACTGCAGCATTTTCAAATTATAGAATTGATTCAAATAATGTAACAACGTAACAATTTACAGCATATGTGGATTATTTAAGTTTACACAAGGTTTTGATAAAAGTCACACTTTCTTATTTATCAGCCACAGTGCTGACTAAAGCGTCCTCGTGTTCACACAATCCCCTATTTAGCGTTCGGGCAAAGGAGTGTGTAACATCCCAGCAGCTCCCGATCTCTCTCACACACACACACACAAAATGAGCACAAAGAAGAAGAAACATACTTTTCAAAGTGAAATCTCAGGGTTTAATTCCTTCTAAGACCCCTTTTTAACGTAAATCAATGCTTTTTAAGACTTTAAGTGATCTCCTCAATGCGGGTTATCTGCGGCTCTTAAAGGATTAAAATGGGAGTCGAGAACAGGAAAAAAAACACTTCGAGCCAACAACTCCTCCCACGTTAACGCTAAAATACAGTGTGCCGCACTCGCTACTATTAGCGTCTGATATTCACTTTGATCAGCCATTTAGCTCTCAGTCAGTCAGCCTGGCTACGAGCCAAAGTGTCAGGCAGCCTCACCCCTCCAGCTTTGATCAGCTTTCTCCTGAATTCTTTGGTGGGGTTGTTGAAGGTGAGCTTCTCACAGCGCAGGTGGTTGACTGGTGGGTTGCCCTCCAAGTTAAGGAAAAGGTCGTAGTTGAAACACACTTTTTTGGGCTCCTCCTGAACAGGGAGAAGAATGAAGGTTTTAAAAGTCCTTACACAGCACGTGTGGCACTCAGTCATAGACATTTCACAACGCACAATAAAAGCTGAATGACTGCACCGTCAACCCGGAAAGTCAACAGAACAGAGACAATGCTGGAGCTGGAGCACTGATAAGAAACATTCCTGAGGGAAGCTGTACAGCGGCGGAGCGGAGCGACACAGGCGCATGCATTAGGTCACTCTTCAAAGACTTTATAAATAAAGTTTTTTAAGTAACCGCGATGATGGCTTAATGGTCGCTAATATTTACTTTCCTCTTCACTTTCCTTCAAGTCTTTTCTGGATCATCCTGACAGATTCGTCTCATTGTTTACAGAAGCTACTCGCACTTAAAAGGAGGATGTTGCAATTTTGGAAGCAGTTCAAAGGTTTAACATTACAAAGGACTACAGAAGATGATGGCACACTAATGTGCACAGGCCCTGTATCGTAATGCAAGCAGAGCGGTTCCTCCATCGTTCTTCTCAATGGCTGACATAAAGATGCCGGTGCTGTGACTAATAGAAACAACTGTTTCCACACCAGACGAGCCTTTCACTAACGTGAAACGGATCCTATAACACGGCTTACCACAGGAGCGCACTCTGCTGCAACATCACTTTAAGGTGCTACAGATTTGAATCATTTAACATTCAGGTAATCGCATTACTTTAAAGTACAAGAGTAAGATATCTGCCCTTATGTCAAATTAAAAACCGACAGTTTCGAGTTACTATATCACAAATGGAGCCACAACAAACGCGATTCAATGCACCAGATGTCAGCACACCTTTCATTACTCTAGTTACTTTTTGCCTGCCTTTAAAGACATCGTTGCTTTTCCCTGTAAAATATTTTAAAAGTGTCAGCTAGCACACTCGGGTACTCTGAGAGCAGGCTCTGCATCGCCATCGGGGATATTCCTTCTTACGAGCTCCTGGAGGCCGAGAGTCATCCAGCCAGTGTTTTGGTACGTCTGCAGCAAATAATAATACCATCCATAAACGTCACCTTCCTAACGCCTTTGCACTTGTGCAGTCACCTGTAATCACACGCCCAGCCCACGCTTCAGTCAGAGTGCACACACTGTGGTTCTAGATATGACCGAACAAATTTATCTAGTGCTCCAAATATTCGCCGCATCTCTCTTCATGCAAAGGCTATTTTGGCAGTTTTTATGACATGTTGTTTATATGCAGGTCTTTTGCAAGTCGGATCTGTGTAAACTCTCAGAGCACCCATGATGCCCTTTTAAGAGGACAGCCACCACAAATCTGATCTGATTAGCTGTCCTGAGGCTCTTTAATAGAACTATTGATTAAAAGCTTTCATCTCATGATGACTTCAAATCCTCCAGCAACACTTTGTCATGTGGAGCCATGATCTAGACGTGCAGAAAGACACGGCTAACAAGTCCAGAATGGCTCATCTTATAATCACGCGTGTGCAGCCGATCTAAGTGGAAATCACAGGCGTACTTAACTTCGTTTAATAAACTACAGGTTTGATAATTGCTTGCCAATAATCACTGGTTACTCAGCTTTGGGGGGCTCCAGTCTAATCTTTCTAACGTCTACCTTAGATTTTCCATAAGAGGATAGAAAGTAGCCCAGCCTTTAATTAGTCAATTATGTGATCATTGAGAGCTGATACTTCTGATTTATAGTGTACATATTTTTCCACCAGAGGTTCTGAACCATCACTGCCTTTATACGGCCACAAGTAATTGCATTACTCCTGGTTTAGACGGTAACTTGATTAAGTGCACATCAAGTAAAAGGGAAACCCAGTTTTCTCTATCAAGTTAAGGAGTTAACCCGATTAACATGAGTATTGCTGGAAAAGCCTGATTTCTCCTTATATGCTGCATTCCTGTGAGAGTGTAAAGGCAGCCTTAAGTCCCATTCAGACTGAGATGCATCTCTAAGGGAGGTGATTGTGTCGTTATTTGCAGCGGTCAGTGATTTTTTTTACCTCCCCCCCAGTTTTCCTGCAGATCTCTGCAGAGCATCACAGATTTTTCTCTCTGCTTTTTCCTGTTTTAACCATTTTAGCTCAGCCACGTGTAAAAATGAACTTTTAGAAAAACTAACATTTTCTAATGCATTCAGGTATTCTCACCTTGTTCTTGAAGTAAACCTCAATAGGCATGAGGAAACCTGCGTAGCCCGACTCCTCCACTTTGTACGGAGGCTCCTTGCATACTGCAGAGAGACAAATATGTTTTTTAACCCCCAATAAAGAAAATAAATAAACCACCGACTGTAACAAACTCTGTCGAGATCACAATATGCCCGGATATTTTCACATTACTTAATTTAAAGGGATGCAAAAACAAAACGGCGGCACAAACTAGTGAGAAGCATGCTTTTATTCTGATAGGATTGCGTGTTTTTAGCATTAAATGATAGTGGACTCATAATTGGCGTAAAGAGAAAATTACAACAATATTCCTACTGGGCTGTCACAGCGGTACAGTTTATCTTTGTGCTGCCTGCCCTCACTCTGACCTCCAACAAACAACCTCATTTCAACATTTAGAAATCTGATCAATTTCTCACGTGTCATATGTAACAGGAAGAAATGTGTCATCTGTATAAAAAAACCGTTTCCCTCTCAAAGATTCGGTGCCTTTTCTTTTAAATCACCGGCTGTTTTCACTGCGTGGGATTTTAAAATAAACTGGCAGAGAATGAAAATGTGTGGTTGTGTGAATGTTTACATGTCGTTATTGCTCTGTCCTACCTCTCTTGGGTTTGGGGAAGCTCTCGTGCAGGCGGAAGACAACCTTCTCTACAAAGTGCTGGATGTCACCAGTCTCTGGGCCTCGGACAAACACCATCCAGTCGTGGGTGAAGCCTTCTGATGTCACCTTCTTCCTTAGCTGAGCTCGGTGGCCCAACTCTAGTTTTACCTGCACAGTGCACTGAAAAGAGACAGACAGAGTACTTTAAATACCAAGAATGAAGGCGTTCAATTCAGTTTTATTTACACAGCGCCAAATCACAACAACAGTCGCCTCAAGGCGCTTTATATTGTAGATCCTACAATAATAGATACAAAGAAAAACCCAACAATCATGTGACCCCCTATGAGCAGCACTTTGGCGACAGTGGGAAGGAAAAACTCCCTTTTAACAGGAAGAAACCAGAACCAGGCTCAGGGAGGGGCGGGGCCATCTGCTGTGATTGGTTGGGGTGAGAGAAGGAAGACGGGATAAAGGACAGGCTGTGGCATGGGAGCAAAACCATAATTTCAGGTATTGTAAAAAAAACAAAACAAAACAAAACAGATTTAAGAGATTGAGAAACTCATACTGACATTTTGTCACGTAGAAGTGAGAAAAGCACAGAAAATTAATCCCTTGAGATTTTTATGGGACGAAAGCAACCTGAACTTTACTGGCTTCTGCCTACATTTCCAGGCAATACTGTCACTCAGGTCAGTTTTTATTCATCAGCCAAAGTCAAGGGGCTTTAAATCTATACAACACAGGACACAGACAGGATAAACCTCCTAGTTTGCAACCAACTAATAATCAGCACTTTATTTTCTATGCAACTTTCTTGTTTTCGGTTTTCGGAGTCAGCGAAAAGGTGAAAAAATAAATACATAAACGCTGAGCAGACATTTTCCATTGTCTTGTTAGAGGACTAACCATCTTTTGATTTGGACCTAACTCATTTAAGAAGCTTGTTAAATGTCATCTGTGCTGGAAAAGTGAGGCCAACTCAAATAATATCTGTCCGTCCATCCATATTTCTTAACCGCTGTCCAGTACGCCCTCGACAGTCTATTGCAGAGATAACAGACTCATAATCACACTTACATCTATTTCAGAATCACTGATTAACCAATCATGCATGTCTTTGGACTACGCAGGCACACGGGTACATGCTCCACACAGAAAGACCCCCAGCCGGCCGGGGGTTCAAACTCAGGAGGTGACAGCATTAAATGCACCACTGTGTGACCCACAAATTAAAATTAATTTTAAAACAAATCTGCGGTAGTTTATCTGTTCTTATGAAGAAAGATCTGAGGATGAAAGGAACGCCCTTCTTTGCATTAGATCTGAGGCAGGGGGTTTCTAAGGATTGATATCACAGATTTATGATAAAGGAGAAGGTGCTTTTGGCAGCACCTTTATTTCTGAACGTATCACCACAGAGAGACATCTGCATGTGTGATTGGGCCTGATTTACACCGAATGACCTTCCTGATCCAGTCCTCCCATTTATCCAGGCTTGGGACAGGCGCTAAGGTCGTGACCCCTGAGACTGGGTTTGTGTAGCCTCCCAGACTCAAACCACACTTTTTTTTTTCACATGCAAGGTGAATGTGCTAACTGCTAAACTGCTCGATTAATGATTAAGAAGAAGAAAACAAAAACAGCTCACACAGTTTTAAGTTGGTTTGACATACTCAGATTTTTTTGCCTTTAACATCATTCAGTACTAGCTTACACTAAAGTACCCTGCTAGCAAATAAAGAGGAAATAAATACTAAAGGAATAGTTCATTCATTTTTATATTTTACTAACAAATAGTTTAATAGCTTAAAACTCAGCATCACTGAACACAGCAAAGATTTTCATCTCTCCTCTGTGCTGTTCCCATGTTTCTGTAACATCATAATGAATCTCTGGGTTTCTGACACTTGGCTAAACAACAGCTTTTGCTTTGGGCCTGAAAACATTGCATCCAACTGCAAAACCATTAAATACGATTAAAACTGGAAATCTTTCATTTTTGGGGCGATGACGTCACCGTGACCTTTAAACAAACCCGCTTACCTTTACTTCAGTTGTTTTATAGAGTCGGCTATTAATCATAACAACTGTCTACAGATTTTAAGTCAATTATCAACTGCATTACAATCGATAATGACTGTAAGTCAAAGCCCCGTGCTATTGGCTGCATCCCGGTCCCTGGCAGTGACAAATTACAGCAGCAAAGACACCTTCCAAGCTGAGGTAGCTTATGAAATAAACATAAGCAAAGCCAGTTGTAAGATTAATCCACGGAGCAATTATTCATTGGGTCGCGATTCCACCTTGAACAAAACCTCTGAATCTCTCGAGTGTTAGGACTCGACACTCGAGTGGAAAGGGGCCGGACAGAAACAAAGCCGGACTCATGCAGGGACGCTCCCAGTGGAATGGGAGTGATTAGGTGCCCGAGCAGAACAATCTCAAAAGGTTTGTCCAGAAGAGGGTCGCGTTGTTGGGCCACAACTGTCTGCCAAGAACAATGACAGCAGCGGGCCACGCAAGTGACACAGCGCTGGTGGAGATAGAGCGCAGGAGGGGAAGCGAGGGGTGGAGGCGGGCGGGGGACAGAAAGGCACTTTATGTCCAGGGGAGGACTGAAGAATGTGGGGATTTGGCCCCTGCACCGAGGAGCTCGTGAGCTGGGACCGAGCGGGGGGATTAGAGGGGACAGGATTGAGATGAGCTGGTCTGGCACTCCCCAGCACGAACGCACACAAACACGCACACACAAACAGGCATGCACATACACCTCCCCGCCTGGCGCTCTGCCCGGCCATTCTGTGGCAGTAATGCCCTTAAACTCCAGACTCCACCACACCCACAGCGAGCCGCCATGGACTCCCTCCAATCATCAGTGCCCCCCCTCCCCCCGAGGAGCTGGTTTAAAAAAAAATAATGAAAAAAAATCAGGGTTGTGATAAGCAAACATAAAAATCAGGATGACAACGAGCCAAAGAGGAAGATGCTGATTGTGCTTCAGAAACACACAAAAAAGAATGAGCGCTAAAATGAAGTGATTTCAGTAACAGGTAAAGTTTAAAGACATTTAAATATAAATAAAAACTAAAACAAGGGAATTTGAGGATTTCTTCATTCTCTGATATTATGATTGATCCTTTAGCAAAATGAAGAATCAGAGGAAAAAATCTCTTCTCACAATTTTTAAGCAGAAAAAAATTGACAGAAAAAAAGCAATTGGCTCCAGGAGTGCGTGCAATATAATAATAATGAAACGAATTAAGAGAACGAGACAGAGAACCCCGTCCCGAGGTAAGCAGTTAATTAGCTGATAGTCAGAAAATGAGTGCAAGTTTTTGATGACTAAAAAGATCAATCAAAACATTTTCGAGTCCATATCAATATTCTCCCGTTTCACCTTCTGAATTGAGAAATATTTTCTCATTTGTTTTGACAATAAACTGAATATTTTTGTGGGGTGATGGCTGAACATTGCAAGTCATCTGACACCACTACCTTGATTATTAGACTGGATCATTTTCAGACTCATCATTTAAGAAAACTATCGGCCGATTTATCGATAACGCCGTAACACGATGAAACAAGAAGTGTACTCTTCCATTAAACACATTTTGTTGGTGCAGTTGCAGGAAAGTTTACAATTAACATCTATTTTTATTATCAGTTAGTTTATAGATTTATTTTCTTCAGTTGTTAATAAATTAAGCTATTAAATCTCTGTCGTCTACACATTTCCAAATCTAAGGTGACATATTCAGATGTTCCTCTCTATGAGCAGTCCCAAACCAAATCAGAAGCAACGAAAATTTCACCACAACATTCAAGATGATTTTGAATATACAAAAAAAGAAGGAAAAAATTCCTCTAATATTTAAACAGTTTAAACTTTAAGACAACAAAAAGCCAGAATTATGAAGACACGAAATGAACTCAACACTGGTGCAGATACACAGGAACCAGAGTGTCAAACTGCGTCTCAGTTTAGTTCTACTAAAATAAGCTGGGCAAACAGGCGTGTGGAGACACAGTTATTCAGCTAACTTCCATCAAAGCCAAAGCATGGGATAAAAAAATTAATAACACAAAGCCACCGATATTGAAATGATGCGTGCATGCCCCCTCTCTCTTTCACTCACACAGTGCTTCAATTGAGGGGAAATACAAATTTTGGCAGACACACTGGCTCCCATGAAAACAATGAACTCCCAGCTGCCATGTAAATAACACCCCTCATGACCGTGTTAATCTCTTCCAGCAAATGAACGATTAAAATAAAAGTCAGAAAGTTTGCCTGAAAGGGGACGAACAAGCGCGCGACACCAGTTGTCTTGTGGGGATGCTGAACTCTTTCCCCGTACCGCACAATCTACGAGATAACGTGGATAGAGGTGAAACAGTTACTTGTACTGGAAAATGGTCAATCCCTGGGAGCCACAGGGGAGTCACAAATAGCCTATCTGCAGCACCCAAAGAAAACAAGTGAGCATTGGAAATGGGGTGTGCGAACGAGCGTGTGAGGATTATGAAAAGCTGCACGACCACTCATCCTGTCATCTCAACTGCAGCGTTCATGCCACAAAGATCAGAGCACGAGAGAAGAGAAAAAAAAGAGGCTCCTTTGCTGTCCACACAGAAAGCTGTATGACTAATCAAGCTGCTATCCCGCTGCTAATGTCATGATGTTGGACTATGCAATAAATTGAATTCCCCATTTTTAGTCTAAACTTGATCCTTCTCTGAGTCTGAAAGAGCAATTTAAACCTAATGAGATCTAGTCCAACAACCTTGCAAATATATCTCAGTGTTCTGAAGTGCATTTGGATCAGTGAGGCCAGACATACTCACTGCAAACACTTTTAGGAACAAAGCAACTCCGTTCAATGGGAACACACTACAAAATGACATCGGTGTGCCCTTGATCAAGGTAGAATTTGAATGTGTACACATGAAATGCCAGTGCATGTGATATTTGTGTAAAGTGTTTGGAAAAGCTATTTGCAAATCTTGCCTATGTAACAAAGGTAACATGCGTCGCACAAGTACAGCTAGAGAAAGCATTTAACTTGTAGCAGGAGACTTCCTCTGGATGCACTAAAACTTCAAAGGGGCCAAAGCTGAGCGGAGACCCGTTCCAAGAAAGTGGCTGAGCCACTTTCCATGGGTGTGTGTGGCCTAGCCATCTGAAATAAGTCCTGAATAGCCTCGGGCATTTTGAGAGTAACCCATTCAGCAGCATCTACTTTACAGTTAGCAGATATGTAATTTGGTTTAGCCTCTTTTCTGTTTCTGTGAAATAAATTAGGTACCTTTTTATGGTGTCATAAATTTTAACTGCGCAAATTTATATGTGGATTGCACAAAATGTCGAGGCACGACACTGCAAGATCACAAAGTTCACAGACCAGCCTTTAAAATTATGTTTTATACCGAGGATTCTCTGCTTTATAATAAGCAGCAAATCTTTACTGGACTCAACATTTGCCACACACGGAGCCTGTCAGTTTTTCACCATGCCACACGAAGGTGATGACCATTAAACATTAACCAAGTGCTGGCAAATAATGCAGACACTGCATGATGTACGCAGATTGCTGGTTTTATTTGCTTTGTATGTTAAGGTTTCAGGCCGCTGGCACTGGAGACAACACCCGCCTCTCCAGGTTTCTCTCCCCCGGCGCCTTGTAGCGACTCCTTAGCTTTTAGCCAACGGCCGACACTGTCCTCATAGGTAGATTAGCTTAGCTCGGCGGTACAAAACCTCGACTTGAAACTGGTCTTCGTGCTGTTTAACGTTGTGCATGTGCTGTTTAAAGCCAGCAAAGCAGTAGCTGTAGCTCTCTTTGTGTGCCTGGCTGTGGCTAGAGCTATGCAGCGGTACTGACTGAATGGTGTAGTAGACTGAGCTCAGCTAGCGGTAAATACCGATGTATGAGTGCCCAGCTAGCATAGCTCCAGAGCCAAACAACTACGAGTTCATTAGCAGCAGGAGCATTTTTTTCTTCTGGCTAGCAGAACAGAGGATTCATTCCTGACCAGCCAGCGCTTAGCCTGCTGCCATTTACAGCCTGAAAAGTTCATATAGCATCGGGAGACACAAAAGCCACTCTACCTGGTTCTCCATGTTTCTCTGGCCTCAGTGAATGATGGATATATTTACAGCGGCGTTAGTGGAGCTTCTACCCAGCCTCGTCTACTCATTGTGTGTCTATCCTTCTGCCCAAAGCGGAAGGCAGACGGCTCCCTCCCCTCGCAGACGGCATCTGGCAGGCTACCAAAACAGAAAGCTCTCTCAGCCAATAGGAGAACGGCAAATGGAAGCGCTCTTGAAAGGAGCCAACCAGCGATCGCCAAAGGCGGGCCAGTCCCCGAGCTGCAAATACAATTAAAGCATTTTCTGGTGGTTCTCTGGAGTGACAGCGAGCCTGTCCCAATGGCTACAGCTCTGTTTCAATTGTAAAATGCACAGCATGCTAATTGATTAATCGAGGTTCGATCGTATTGGGTTTCAGATTTTACCCATTTCTCTTCCTGTCCTAAACGCAAAATCGATGGCACTAACAATCAGCCTAATCTTACTCTTACAATCCTCTTATATTTACAAATAAAAAAATGTCTTTCTTTGCCTGCCCTGTAAAAACTGCCATATTAAAAACTACAGCTTCATATCTAAACCACTGGAAAGTCAGTAAACACAGACACATAGTGTTTTTACACCACATTTATTTAGGAAATGTAATAAGAGTCTAAAATATGGCAGATAGTTCAATAACAATTTGAAAATAATCATAAATATGAATCCAATAAATACAGAATATGTATAGGAGCTGCTATTCACGCAGAGTATTATGACTTTGCAGAATACTTTCAATGCACTGCCTCACTTGCAATGCGTTACAGTGCTTTAAATGACCCGAACGCTTCCTGCGCTGGCAAAAAGCAAGCATTTAAAGGTCACTGATGTCAGCTAAAGCCTGCAAAACCTGTTTTTTGTGTTTTTTTCTTTATGGCCAGTTCTGATGCAATCTTATCCTGCTGTGTCTGAAGCATGGGCAGACTCAAAAAGGAAGTTTATGGTTGCACAAACTTTTATGTGTCATCAAGATAAAAGTTTATCCACATACACCAGGGTATATCTGAATAAACTTAATTTTGCCCAAAGCTCCAACTCCCCAGGTGGCTGTAATGAGCTTAGACGACTATGTCTCGACTGGCTCGGTGCACTAGCTCCATTTCAAAAGTTTCATCTGAAAAGAAAGCGCTATGTCTTCTAATTGAAGACGTTTCTTTTATAGAGACTCAGGGAGTTAGGGCCCATTGCAGTCAAGTCTGAGCTGAGACTTTGATGTGAGATTATCGGGCCTCAGCTCTGTGACAGAAGGTCACCACTCTCTCACTGGCTTGATGCCTCCCCTTCTCCTTCTCCTGCCGCTCAAAGTGATCCAGCCTGCCTCTCAGTCAAATTTGAGGAAAAGAAGTACGACCAGGCTGTCAGACGTGTCCAGCTTATATTGAGATGTCAACCTTTAAAATCCCCTTTTCAACATGCAGTGAAAGACAAAATCCCACCAGATTTACAGATAACAGAGTTTTACTATAGTTAAATCAGCAGGACAAGTACAGCCAATAACCTGGAGTGGAAAGCATAGATACCTGTGTGTTTGAGAGAAATGAAAGATGCGGTGAACAAAAATGTTAGAGCAACAGATTAGAGATGGGAGACAAGAAAACAGAGAACAGAGGAGTAACAAATGAATAACAAACAGTGTTGGTACACAGAACAGAAATACAACAAATCTGGTGATTCACAGTTGAAAATATAATATTTTCCCAGGAAACTGGCTATTGGAAACGGAAAAAACAAAACAAAATAATAAATTAGTCTTTAAGTAAGTTGTGAAAGTGTGTGGTTGTCTATCTGTCTGCCCTGTGGTGAACAGAGGAAGAGGAGAGGGAGTGTTTAAATAACAATCACGAACATTTAGCAAGAGACACAAAGACAAAGTTGCACACATTTCACACACAGCATGGGCCTTTTTAAATAAACAGGTTGCTCAGTTTTGTTTGTGGATTCCTCAATAAAGAGAACATCCGGATCCACAAAAGGCTTAAAAGAGACATAATGGAGCAGACATGGCAGCCTGAATTTACAGGAGGATTTCACAACAGCAAAGATAGAAGTAAAACTTTCAGGAGAAAGAAAAGTCACCATGCATTTAAGGAGCTTTTATTTATTTATTTTTCTATCTGATATTACCAACACGGCTGCAGCGAGGAGAGGTTTCTTCTAAATGGCACTGCCATAACAGATCCAGTCACTCATCACTCCCATTTAGTGTGTGCCTTATTAAATCGCTTCCGGCTTTTGGTGAGCTGAACTTGAGCCAATCTGAGAAACCAAACACAATTTTTCTTTAGGCAGGAAACTTATTTCTGTACAAAAATTCGCACACAACCAAAAACAATATCTTATACTGTTTATTTTTTTAAAAAAAGGTGGGGGGGATAATAAATATAGCCTGGGAACCAAATGAATAAGAGAGCTCATGTTTCTTTAGCTCGTGCAGAAGGCATCCATCTGCACATTTCCACGCAGCCCTGTTTGTGTCAGGCCAATCACAAACATTCATCTAATACAGGGCAGGTTTGATGGAAATACACTGAGGAGCCCTGCTGTGGATCTTTTGTAAATAACCAAGATGGCTGCTGCTCACCTTATCTGCTACTGAGATAACGTGTGGTTCGTACATTAATTTATACAAGAGTTTCTGAAGCTATATTGACATCACTTTTGTCTCTTAAGCGGCTAGTTAATCAAATGAATAACACCAATACTGTGCTTGACATTCTTCCATCTTGCATAGCTAAGGACTGTTGTGATGTAATTGGACCTAGTATCCTATTTCTTATGAACCTTTCCTTGCTCTCAGGCTGTGTTCCTTTGGCCTTTAAACATGCTGTAGTCCACCCGATTCTTAGAAAAAGAAACTCTGACTGTTATGACCTTTTAAATACAGACCGATCTCTAAGCTTTCGTTCTTGCCCAACATCCTGGAGAGACTAGTTCTCTCCCAGCTCCAGGCGTACTTGGACACGAACAATATTGCTGAGAAATTTCAATCTGCTTTTAAGCCACTGCATAGCACTGAAACAGCATTGGTTAGAGTTCTTAATGATATTCTTGTAATTACTGATACTGGACGCTCTATGGCCCTAGTTCAGCGGTCCCCAATCCCCGGGCCTCGGACCGGTACCGGTCCGTGCGAGTTGAGGCTCAGGTGTGAAATGTCTGGTTTTCAGGGTTTTAATCGGTTTTCAGCGTTATTTTGTTATCGTTTTTATCGTTAACTTGGTTTTCCTGGGTCTTTTCACATGCCTTATGAATAAATCTTCTTTTTTTCGGTACCGGTACTAGTTTTATTTTGTTGTATTTATCCGCGACACCTTAAAGGCCGGTCCATGAAAATATTGTCGGGCATAAACCGGTCCGTGGCGCAAAAAAGGTTGGAGACCGCTGTCCTAGTTTATTGGACCTCTCTTTGGCTTTTGATGAGCTGGACCATAACATCTTATTATTAAGACTTGAGCACACTGTGGGTATTAGAGGCACTGCCCTCGACTGGTTTAAATCATACCTCGCTGACAGGTCCTTTTCGGTTAACTTGGGCACCTTCTCCACTTCCTCAGCACCAGTCTGCTGCGGTGTACCTCAAGGATCAGTTTTAGGCCCTATTCTCTTCTCGTTGTATTTTTCTCCCTCTAGGCGCAATCTTTGAAAAATACAATATCGCCTTCCACTGTTACGCCGACGACATACAGATCTATTTTGAACTTACTGACGACCTTGCTGTGTCCATGCACTACTTTCAAGAATGCATGCAGGAGGTCAAAGAATGGTTCCTGAGTAATTCCCTCGTTTTAAACGATAAGAAGACTGAGATTGTGGTGTTCAACAGTAAAATCCCTTGTGTCCAACTCTGTGCTGCCCTGGGTTCCTTTGCTAGCTCTTCCTGTGACTATGTCAGTAACTTGGGTGTACTGCTGGATAGCTCGCTCAAACTCGATAAGCAAGTGTCTGCTGTAGTGAGATCTAGCTTCCACCAACTGCGCCTTATCTCTAAGGCTAGGCATTATGTTC